ATGGTGCTATGTTCAATTGACTTCCGGATGAAAATCAGATCCTTATGAAGCAATTCAATTGCACTATGAATACAATCAATCAGGAAAGGTTGTAGTTGTTGTCCAACGATTTGAAAGTAGACAGATCGATGTTCGCTCAAACGTGTTTCATGTTTTTTGCGACGATTGTGAGCGTCAGTTATCATCAGCGGAATCATATGCCTCCCGAATTGTCAAACATTGCCCAGGCTTGTGGGGGATTGATCGGCGATATGCAGCTAATATTATGAGGAGGTGCTTTTTTCAAGCATTCATGAAGACAGAAGAGCTGTCGTCTTGTAGATGTTTGTTCGCAAGTAAAATTCTTCTAACCGTGAGCCGAATGGAAGACTGAACGCCCGTGGTTGTTTAAAAGTTTTCGGAATACCGGTAGCTCGGTGTGACGGTACAGTTGTGGTTTTTAAACGAAAAGAACGCTCTTCAGAAGCTCATTTAGGTGGAAAATATGGGCTTAACTCCAAACAGACTGATAACGGCAAGCGTTTGCTACAACAGCGTGTGGAGCACCAGTTGTTTCTTAGAAGCACGGCTTTTAGACATACAGTGGGCGCCGAAGTGCCACTTGGCGTCCTCTTGTAGCTGGCCAGCGATGGACCCAAATTGATCACATAGCCATAAGTTACATTTGGCGTGGTTCCCTGCTGGATTGCCGCACGTTCCGGAAGACCTGCGTCGAACTGATCATGCCTTGGTACGCTGTCGTTTCTCCACGAACTTTATCGGGAGGCACACCAAGCGTCTCCCTCGATTAGCAACTAAGAAATTGTCTCGCTCTTTGGTCAGGCAAGCCTATCAAGACGCACTGCGTACCGAACTTTCGATGTTTTGCCCTAATGACAATGAGCTTCAGTGGAATAGGACCTCAGCCGCCATGCATGACGCAGGAGCATCTGCTTGTGGCACTATCAATCGTCACCGCACCAGTCACTGGATATAAGAGAGGTCGGTGAACCTATTGGAATAAAGAAGAAACCACCCGGTTAGCTCTAAGCACAATGCTACCAGACTTGAACTAAAGCGGAGCCTGCCTGCTGACAAGGAAGGCTGGAGGACAAGTCGGGCTGAAGAAATGGAGGAGGCAAGAGCAGTAGGCAAAAACCGCAATCTTTTTCAGCTGATCCGCACCACTGGCCCCAGAAAACCAGGCGTCAGTGAGAATCAGAGACAGCGCAGATGCGCTGATATACAATAAGGAGCGCCATATAACTCGCTGGGTGGAACACTTTCAAGATCAGTTCAGTTAGCCACCTGCTCTTGGACCTCTTCCTCCGCAGATGATGCAAGACGAGCCATTGACGGTTAGTTTAGAGCCTCCATCGGAGTCCGAGGTTCGAAACGCGATCACAGCCCTCAATCATTTTCGTGCTTTCGGCCAAGATTCGCTCAACCAGCACTAATTAGGGATGGAGGTGAGGTCCTCCGCAAAGCACTGACCTCCATATTCGAACATATCTGGAAGGATGAGTGTCCCAAGTAACTGGAGTGAATCGATCATAGTGCCAATATACAAGAAGGGTGGTCGCAGAGACTGTGCTAACCACAGGAGAATTAGCCTAAGGCCAGTTGTGAAAAAATTACTGGCCTCGATTCTCGTTCGTCACTTCACGGAGGAGCAGGAATCACGGATTAGGGCAGAACAGGCAAATTTTTGATGAGGACGGGGTTGTATGGATCATATATTCATTCTGCGGTAGGTGCTAAAGCAGCGCCACGCATGCCGCAGACCGATAATAGCTGTGTTCCTCGATTTCAAAAGTGCGTCCGATTCAGTCGATCGATGTATTCTTTTTGGAATACTTGCGCGCAAAGGTGTTCCCACGAAATATGTGTACACCTTAGGTACTCCAAACTCAAACATTACAGACCGCGTCAGAGTCAACGGTGACTTGTCGGATAGCTTTCCGACAACAAGTGGCGTTCGTCAACGTTGTCCGATTTTCCCATTTTTGTTCACTTTCGTTGTGAACTCTATCATGAAGTGTTCCCTTGCGGAATCTCACGATGTAGGCGCGGAGGTCCTGCCCTGTGAAAGACCAGTTGCTCTACATTATGCGGACGATATCGTCTTGCCTTTTGACGATGTTACGGTGGCAAGACCAACCCTGAATAGCCTGTCTAAAGCGATCCCCTTCTCTGGTATGCACTTCGCACCTTCAGACTGCACAGTGTTGTTGCAGGACCATTAGCCACTTGATGAACTCTTGACACTTGATAACGAGGAACTCGGGGTGGCTGATTGATATACTTACCTTGATATCTGCATCAGCAACGATGGACGCATAAAAACGGAAGTCACTTCACGCATTGCAAAAGCCAGAACTGTCTTTTTGAACCTGCAGGCTCTTTGGAGACAGAAGGGTTTCACTCCGTCTGAAAGGCTGTGTACGCAAAGCCACAGTGAGAGCTGTTCTGCTCTATGGGTGTGAGACTTGGCCCCTTCGGTCTGAAGATCTGAAGCGCCTTTAAGCCTTTGATCATCGTTGACTGCGAAGCACTGCTGTTGTCGGGTAGCACCAGCGTGTCCGCAACGGTGATATGCGTAGGCGAGTACTACACAGTGATAACCAATCTAGTTCCTTAGAACAATAGACAGCACTGAATATGTTGCGTTGACTTGGGCCTGTACTGCGCATGCCTGATCACCGCTTACCAAGGAGGGCTTCGTTTAGTCTACCAGGTGTAGAAGGCGCAAGGCTCGAGATGTTCAAAGGTTACCTTGGCAGCGGGAAATGAAGTCACTCATGACCGAACTGGCTGCCGTTGGTCCGTCTTGCCTTCCGGGCTGGAGTCCACGTGACCTTGTGCTTGGCTCGAAACGACTGCACATGGCTCGCAGTCGACACCAGTGGCGCACCTGCTACCATCTCCTAATCGGATTGTCTGTTTAAAGTGTGTTTGGTGTTGAGTTACGAGGTAATGGCTGATTATGACGCAGGGCAGTGAAAGGAAGCTGTCTCGTTGATGCCGCCTTATGTTTGCACGATAGCTAACTGTTTGTGACGATATGTTGTTAATACACGTTGTAGGCACCTTGATCCTGAACTTTTGCTTAGGGCATTAAGGTTTTCCGGTAAGTCCCCTTTCTCTCGTTCTTATTATTCTGCATTCCATAGGTCATCATGGTTGTATGGCAGCGTAGCACCAGTTCAAGTGGCTGATGTACTGCTGTTGTTGATTGATTGGCAGGGAGGAAACAGTTGTGAGTTGATATTTAAATCAGATGACGCCAACAACCTGCAGAATCGGATGATCGAAAATGGAGAATCACCCAAATTATTTAGCGTGCAGTAGGAATGTTATAGTTGCGTTATAGTATCCGGTCTAATCGCAGTGCTGTGAATTTTAAGCATGACCTAGGTGACTTAGACAGCTAGGTAGAACTTAAGGACACAAAGACCCGAAGAAGCGTGCCAGTTCATTTGAAAATGCCTAATAATGTGGCCAACAAAGATAAAACTCCGGCGTACGTAACACCTGTGGCAATGCCCGTGGGAGTAATTCCTGATAAATAGATTGCACCAACTTAGTAAATAGTTAATCTAGATGATATGCTCAGCTGAAGCGCATCAAAAAGGCAGGAGTTTGAAAGAATGGGAGTTAACAACCTATTTAAGGTCTTAAAGTATGAAAAGCAGAGCTGTTTAACCCCATCAAATGAGCATGTGCAAGCTACAATATGAATCACCATCCAATGATTGCAAAAATGAGAGGCGTGTGTATTGGACTGGGTAAAACTAAGTAAAAAAGCAAAACCATGTAGCAGAAAAAGAAGAAACGAAGGAGGTATTCAAACCGCATGAAGTAGATAAGGGCTGCAGGCGAACAGGCAGGAGGACGTCACAGTGGCAGTCAGAAGCGGCGATACGAGTCAATTCAAGTCAAATCAACATAAGGTTTATATACCCAAATAGGTGTATTTTCAGAATTTTAAAATGTTAACTGCACAAGGACTGAATTTGCACCATCAAGAATGCAATATTTTACAGACGAGTAGACAAAAATGAAAAAGGTGCACTACAAACACTCGGGTAAACGACCCAGTTTTCTAGAGCGACGGTCGCACAATGTTGAACGGAATCCTCGGGATTCGCTACCAGTCAATAGGTTGAAGTTTTAGCAAAAATTTTATACATAACTACGTCTTATGTGACGTAAAGGTTCACGCGCAAAAGCAACTTGCACTTGCTTGGGACTTGCCTGAACAAAATATATATCAGACTATTCTTGCAAAACTGATTTATCTACAGTAGATAACGTTAAAAAAGGATGATCGGCGGAAAAGGCAACGCCGTAAGATGTTCCCAAACAAGGCAACATCATACTTAGTGCTCCCATGAGAAATACCGAAAACCACAAGTTGCAAGTGGAGGAGGAATATCGAGCCACTTAAGAGCACACAATCGCTCAAGGCCGGTGTCGCCAAGCGACAGAAGTAATCAGCAGTTCCAATAAGAAGTAGGTTACATAAAGATGGATAGCAGGAACAAAAATAATGAAAATAATAGGCTTATCTATACAAGCGTTGTTTTGGTTTTGTGCAGATTCGTTAAGACGTTTGAAGACTAACATTTTGAGAAAAAGGAGCTCCTCTGTGGAGCCGTAATCATGACCGAGGTTTTGGCGCATTCGGAAAATAGCTGCTCATCTCTGTTTGCATATCAAGGCAAACGTCTTCTGATTCAGGTTGAAACTGAAAGCCTTCAGAAGCGGATTTAGCCTCAATAGAAGCCTCAAGGGAATTGGAAAGGTAAACATGATGATCGCAGATAGCCAACCGTGATGTGATTGCTTGATTAGTAAATGGTGGGCGCACCACAACATAAACGCAACGTGACGCAGCTAAAAGTAAACACGTCACATCACGCAGCAGAGATAACAAAAAACGAATAGTGTCCTATCAAAGGATAAAAACAAACATGCGCACCAGAGTAATAAAGAGACTAGGGAAATTTGGGAGTTACCTGTGGAAAGCGGCAGTGGCTGGTGTATAATCTCAGAGGACGCAATCACCGACTGCGGTTCTGTTGGATTATGCGGAGGTAACTTATTAGTCGACGACGGAGATGTGTTGACAGGTTGACTGAGAGACAGAGGGTCACGCAATCTGCTCCTTTTATCAGAAAGGCCGCGCTTACGGGCCAATTTTCTTGTTTTGCGGAACGCCTTTCGCCTTCTTCTAGTACACTTTGTGGACATAGTTGACGCCGTTGATTTTGTAGGACGGCTAAGAAGGGGTAATAAACGTCGCGAATTTAAGTAAAAAAATAAACGTGGTGCATGAAAACTGTCATCGATACAAATTTTATCACATTAGGCGAAGAGCAATGAGGATAATTGTCTAAAACACAGTAGTTGGCTTCAAAAGATGTCCGTCTATTGATGTGGTCAACGCGTTGTGTATCCTGAATACTGTACTACAGAGCATGCAAAAATGAATTCTGTACAACTCTTTCGAAATATGGTAAAAGACGTTAGAAAAATTGTCAGCCGTGAATATCGTTATCGCTCTCATGCAACCTTTAAAATACCTGACTCACGGTATTGTAGGATTCACAAATGTGAGACATCATCGCAAGTGTGCAATCGTTCTCTGAATCGAATAGCGGTAAAATATAAATCTAACGATGTTCTGAACTGCTGCACAGATATTGCCTTCATCACTTGTTCAGGTAAACTGCTCCAAATATTTACCACTCCATTCGAAGCACAGTGGGTGGGGAACTCGTTTCACATCCGGCACGACAAGCTTGTATCTGTGTCGGCGTGCGCTGCATGACCCTCGTAAGTGCAGCAGTGGCCTTAGCATGGGGAAGTTACCGAGATGTAGAATACGGTAGGTCATAATGAGGTCGATTCGCACCCGACGGTAGGACAAGGTGTAGAGTCTTAGCTTCTCGCACCGGTCTTCATACCCCAAGCCACGTAAACTCGGGATGAGCCTGGTAGCAACGTGTTGGACCCGTTAGATCTTTTGTGCCTCGCCTCGGGTAATCGGAAAGTAGGCGGGCGAACCGTACTCTAGCATTGGTCTAATGATGGAAAAGAAGAGGCTAGTGGCAACCTCTTCAGACCAAGTGCCGAAGTTAGGTTTGAGCGCCCAACGCATGCGCAGTCCGTTACGTGTTATCCACGGAATTTAAATCGTAGCGCGAGAGTACACCTAAGTCCTTTATGGAGGATGTGGGATATAGCGGTTGGCCGTCAGCGCACTTCCCCATGCTCAAAATTACAGACTTGGATGGGTAGACCGGGAGTTGAACTTCTGCAGACCATGTTGATAGGCGGTTGAGGGCTCTCTGAAGTACGTCACAATCGTCAGAAGCGTCAATTTCTTTTCAATTCTTCATGTCATCCTTAAAAAAGGCACACAGCGACCGGAGAAGCTGAGTTAGATCGTTGGTGTGGATCAGGAACAAAGTGGGCTCCAGCACGGTGCCTTGAGGCACGCTACTTGTAACGGGATACCAGTCAGTTAGATGGTCGTCGAGCTGTACGCTCCACTTGTGTCCAATAAGAAAGTCGCTGATCCACCGGTGCAGTGAGCCACCGACACCACACATGCTGAGTTTGTGAAGGTGAACCTCATGACTGACCTTGTCGAACGCTTTACTGAAATCGATGAATATCACATCGACGGACTTCCCCTTGTTTATTGCCTTCAACCACACATGCCTCGTCACAAGCAAGTTTGTAATGCATGAGCGGCCTTGCATAATACCTGGCTGTGCGGGTGTCAGGACCATTTTTGACTGTAGCAACTACAATAATCACTTTTTTACGATTTTCTCAACAACCTTTGCCAAAATAGGTGTCAGACAAACTGGCCTGTAGTTGTCTACTTTGCTAGGGTCGCCGCCTTTCGGAATAGGCTTTCCACCGAACAATTCAGTCAATCCACAACGAACCTTCGAACAGCGACATGGTGAAAAGATCAGTTACGACAGGAGACATGATGGCGGAAAGTGACTTGAGAATGAGTGGATGAAGCCCATCAGGCCCGGTGCCGTCAAGGCTGGCGGGTATAAGCAGAGGCAGATTTTAGGTTAAGGATGAAGGGATGGAAAGGTGCCCACTTTCGCTTAAGCTTATCACAAAACCGAGTGGCCATAAATAAAAACAGCAAAAAAGACGATTGAGTGAAGCTATGAGAGAGTCCTAGAAAGTTCAACGAAAAGCGAACGCAGCAGAGCATGTCACATTAAAGCAAGCAGAACGAGTGCTAGGGTGTGACGAACAGATGGGGCACATCGCATCGTGCAGGTGCGTGGACGCTGGTCGTGGGTAGAGCAAACTGCTGTAATGAAGGCGCAAACAGGGACGCACTGACAGTAGCCCTCAATATGCACGATAGTAAGCAGAGAATTCTCGGGATATAATGCAGACGATGGACAAAAAATCAGAAAAATATAGAAAGAAATAGGTTTACAAATACCGAGTCGAAGTGTTGAAGGATGCAAATCCGTACCACTTGAAAGTTCAGTTCAACTCAGTTCCGTTGTACAAATATGATGTGAAGCATCGAAGTGCGGTGGATCCAGCTGCCACGAATCACGTCATCAGAATAAAAATGGGCAAGAAGGGTAATAAAACAAGAATAAATGCAGAGAATAAAAAGGGGAATGGAGAAAGAAACGCACTAAAATAATCATAATAAAAAATTATAAGCCATATGCAAGAAACTAAATGTAGAAATGCCACTGACTGCGCCATGTCTGATAAAATCTCCAACCGTTGACGTGTACCATCTAGGGTCACCAACCGACGAAGACGGTATGCACCAGCCTAACAAAACTCATTCCCTTGTTTCTTGATGCCACATCAAATGACAACTTATTGCAGCCAAGATGAATAACGTACACGGAGGAAAGAGGTCAAGGGACGTAAGAGCATGGCCTAGGCAACCTATGCGGTTGAGGTTAAGCAAACACCTGAAAGATGCACAATAAGATTAGTTTCCAAAAACCAACTAGCGGACCGCTGCATAGCCGACCCGGGGTTCCCACCAGATGCGAGTAATAAACCGTAATCATCGGTGATTAAACACGGCCAACCGTGTCTTACCTGCGAAATGGCAAGGGCTCTGATCGATATGGTAACACCGACCTTATGGAAGTGCTATACATCCATTTCTCTGACAGGCTGACCTCACGCCGTCTCCATGGATGGTTAGGAACCTGGAAAGTCACAAGGGCCCTGTTGATACCGGAAGTAACTTCCTCAGTGAAGTAACCACCAGACGTGACGTAGCTACTAAGTGAATCGATCCACTAATTCCAGTGGCTGTTCGCTGAAAGCTAGGACCGATGGCGTATCGATCCAGTTCTGCAGCAGTACTTTGCAGTGCGAAGGTGCAAGCCGAAGCGTACAGCGTTACACATGACATTCTCCAGCAGTGCCTGCACAGCAACTGTGTTAGACTCTAAGGAAACTATGTCGTCCGCATATTCAAAGTTTGCCGCTCAGTCACTTGGCAGAACTCCCACTCCGGAATAGCCTGAAAGAACCGGGTTCTTCATGATCATATCAAACAAAAAGTGAAAGAAGTACTATTGCGAGGATGGCGCGATGGTTTGCACCCTCCCGTGACCCACTGAACTATGCTGGGTGGCACTTTCCAAGTGCCTTCAGAACCAGTCATACCAGGCAGACCAATGGTTAGGGGTTATACCAATTAAGTCTCATAATGCAATCCTCTTCGGAGGTTAAGGAGGGGTCGACGGTCCCCTTCGCTTAAAACCTAGCTATGGAAGACCACAAGTTTAATGGGTGAAAGCTCACAGCTCGATTGGCGTAGAGCACGAGCACCAGTCATTGCCACTCCGGTGCTTAATGGTTTGTCAGCATTCGCTTCAAACAAGGCAGGCCCTGGTCATATTGGTGCAAAGCCGCCAACCCTCATCTGCGAGTAGTCGGGATCGCAGATGCGTAACATACTACGGTCTTAAAACATATGAGCATTGTTCTAAATCTTCCAACACCGTGTGTGACGGATCTCAAGCAAGTCCCAATCCATTACTGTAATCATACTCCTAAGCTGGGCATACTCCTCACCGCGTTGTGGGTCAAGGAATTTAGCCAGTATCAGGATGGAGCGAGCCTCCACATACCCCACTGGCTTTTGGATCACCTAGTTGAGTAAAAGATGGGGCACCTCAAACAAAACCCTTATCTCGAAATGGGCATCTGCGTTGTCGACAACGTCGACCATACCCCAATTTTTTTTCTCTCCGCTCTCAACTCTCTTCGCCATATATTGAGCAAGAGACTGCCACTAACATCACAACTGCTGCTATTGATACTTTAGTTTGTTCATCAAACCGAGTCTCATTTCACATTGATATGTTTAACGTCCGTAATCTGGGTCAGATCGGCCAACAGACAGCATTAACCCATTTTTCACTCTCCTGGTATCGATGTGTGCTGTGTCCCTGAAACACGTATACAAGATATTAGCGTCATGATAAAACTTCGAATTTCTGGTTCCGAATCTCATTATCAAGGGGCTGACAGAAAGATCAGTACCAGTACATCAGCACTCTGTAATGGGACAGTAAAGCCATGTAACCGTATAGGAACAGAGACCGTGATACTGGTACAGCTTTGGAAGAAGAGTCATGCAGCGAGTTTATCGCATCAAGCGAGTGCGCACATGTTAGGTGCATACACTTCGACAACACCGCTGCCTACTAGGTGGTGATAAGATGGCAACGACAAGAGAGCATAATAGAGACAATCAATGAACAGCATCATAAGCAGTTTTATGCCACAAATAACAGTAGCAAACAAACCCCACCAAGGGTAACCTGGTTAAGAGACAGCGCTAACAGGTCAGTGACCACCTACTACCACGGTACTACAGGGTGCGTCCAAAGTCTACAACACGAAACGTATCACTGGATCTAAACGAATGGCAAGGTGACAGCCACTATTGTCAGGTCAGCCGCTTCCGTCCCTAAACCTTATGCTGTCCGACGTCGGCAAAAGAAAAGCGAACGCCTATCAGCGGTCGATGAGCGGAGTGTATGGCAAATCACAAACACAGTGAACGTCTGCAAAAATCATTTATGTGAATACGCTGATGCCTCCTGACGAGCACAACGACGAAGTTGTGGTCCAAAGTTGCTGAAAATTTTCCCATATAGTAGGTAGTGTCCCAATAGTCCGTAATTGGAATTTACACAAACAAGGGCTTTTGATAAAATTCCTGGTGTGAAAACGCATTTA